CATCATATTTATTTGGAAGCATGCTCAGGTAGTGCAGATTCAAATTTGTTCAAATCATGACCCCCGGGGGTAGGGCGGGGCCACAATGGCCGACCAAAGTTTTTCATAGAAACATATAGGAAATTTCTTTAAAAATCTTCTCAAGAATGACAAAGCCATAATTCATCATATTTATTATGAAGCATGTTCAGGTAGTGTAGATTCAAGTTTGTTCAAATCATGACCCCCAGGGGTAGGGCGGGGCAAAAGTGGCCGACGAAAGTTTTTAAAGATATATATAGGAAAATTCTTTAAAAATCATTTTCTAAAAAATAGCAAATCCATGATTGGTCATGGGACTACTTTTGGATTTAAACTTTACAATAAAAAGCCATTTTCTACTTTTTCCTACCCTAAGTGCTCAGGTGAGCGATGTGGCCCATGGGCCTCTTGTTATTTTCAATGAAAGGTCAAGTATTACATATGTGCATGAAGTATGACTGCCCTTGTCAGAACCGCTCAAAAGTATGGCCAAGGTTAAAGTTTTTAAAAAGTAGGTCAAATTCTAAGGTCAAGGTCAAAGGGTCAAAGTTGTTGGTATCCAATAAAGGGTTTTATCACAAGGATTATATATGTGAAGTATAAAAGCCCTAGCTTAAAGTTAAGCTAGCAAAAGTTAAGGCCAAGGTTAAAGTTTTTTTTATAACAACGGAAATCTCCAAGGTCAAGGTCAAACATGTTGGTCTTGCCACAAAGAATATATATGTGAAATCAATCGCAACTTTTCTGTCCTTTCCAACTAACGGAAAAACGACCTCGAATGTACTACATAGGCGCCATGACAACCCCTCCCCATTTTTCACAAACTTTGAAATAAATGTTGGAAGACCTCTTGTCTGTGGAGTATGGAGTTTAACTTATTGAATGTATTAAATGGTATTACCTAAATATACAAGAAAAGGGACTTTTAGCCGCTTCAATCCTATATTCAATTAAACAGGAAATGTATGAATTTTTAACACCCAGTGATGTTAATACATTCGAAGTTGCTTTCCCGATCTCTGAAGGAAAGACCCGAGATGATGTGATTGATGTGAAATATGAAAGCCCTAGCATCTACCATTCAAAAGTTATGGTCAAAGTAAAAGTTTGGATTTTTTGTGTAAAAGTGGGTCAAACTCCAAGGTCAAGGTCGAAAGGTTAAATTTGGTGGTACCCAAAGAAAGGTCTTGTCACAAGGAATACACATGTGAAATATGAAAGTCATAGCTCCTCTAAATCAAACGTTATGAGCAATTAAGGTTAAAGTTTTTGTGACGGATGGACAAACAGACAGCTAGACTGACTGACTGAAAAACGAATTAGATTTAAAATGTCCCCTCGCTTTTGCGAAAGCAGGGGAGAAAAAGCTCACTTGAGGGCATAAAAAGGACTAGGTAGGTAGGTTACCAACAATCAACATTCATAAACATTTTGATTACCTGACTACTGAGTAGCAAGTATGCCTTTTGAAGGTAATTTTTATGCCCCAGTAAACAAAGTTTCGGGGGGTATATAGTTTTTGTCGTGTCCGTCCGTCTGTATGTCTAGCTGTTTGTCTCTTTGTCCGCAAAAACTTTAACCTTGCCCATAAATTTTGATTTAGTGGAGCTATGACTTTCAAATTTCACATTCCTTGTATTCCTTGTGAAAAGACCACCAAATTTGACCTTTATACCTTGGAGTTTGACCCACTTTTACACAAAAAATTACCAAAAAAATTCTTGACTTTTACTTTGACCATATCTTTTGAACAGTACATACCAGGACTTTTATACTTCATACATGTATTCTTTGTGGGAGATTTCTGTACTTATGAAAAAACTTTAATCTTGGCCTTAACCTTTAAATTGTAAGGGCTAGTGCTTTCATACTTCACATATGTAATCCTTGTGAGAAGACCCTTCATTGGATACCAAGAACTTTGACCCTTTCACCTTGACCTTGGAGTATGACCCATTTTTAAAAAGCAAACCTTGACCATAACTTTTAAAGGATTAGGGTTAATGCTTTCATACTTTACTTTAATATTTAATCCTTTGTGACAAAACCTTTCATTTGATAGCAAAAAACATTTTACCCTTTGACCTTGGAGTTTGACCTACTTTTCAAAATTGTTAACCTTGGCTATACCTTCCTAACGGTTAGGACTAGGGCTTCCATACTTCACATATATATTATTTATGGCAAGACCTTTCACTGGATACCAATTACCTCGACCTTTTCACCTTGACCTTGGAGATTTTCCTACTTATGAAAAAACTAACCTTAGCCATAACTTTTGAACGCCAAGGGCTAGTGATCTCATACTTAATTCACATGTGTAAAACTTGTGAAAAGACCCCTCATTTGATACCAAGAACTTTGACCATTTGAACTTGGAGTTTGACCTACTTTTGAAAAACAAATCTTGACCATAACTTTTAAAGGGTTAAGGCTAGTGCTTTCATAATTTAAATATTTAATCCTTGTGACATGAACTTTTATTTGATATCAACGACTTTGACCCTTTGACCTTGGAGTTTGACTTATTTTTAAACTTTTAAACCTTAGCCATAACTTTTGAAGGGTTAGGACTTCCATACTTCACATATGTATTTTTGTGGCAAGACCTTTCATTCCATACCAATTACCTTGATCTTTTGACCTTGGATATTTCGTTCTTTTGAAAGAACTTTACCTTGGCCTACTTTCATATTTCAGAATTGTATTGCCAGTGTTTCACAAACACATCTTGTTAATCCTTGTGACAACACCTTTCATTTGATATCAAGAATTTTGACCGTGGAGTTTGACCTACTTTTTAAAATTTTAAACCTTGGTAAAACCTTTTGAAGGGTTAGGGCAGGGGCTTCCATACTTCACATGTGTTTTTGTGGCAAGTCCTTTCATTGGATACCAATTACCTTGACCTTTTGGCCTTGAAGATTTGCATACTTATGAAATATGAATGAATTTTAACCTTGGCCTACCTTCATATTTTACAATTGTATTTCCAGTGAGAATACCCTACTTTGGGTACCAATGTATTACATTTGCATTTAAGAAAAGTTTAATCTTTGCTATGTTGCCATACGGGGGCATCATGTAGTCTTTCACAAACACATTTTGTTGGAATAGTATCTCAGTCCTAAAATAATACACAGAGATCAGATCAAGTTCATAATATGCAATTTATTTTGAATCAAAAATAAACATTAATTGCACCAATTACTTTGAAATATGCAGACACAAATCACAGAAAAATATCCTTGATAAACTTGTGTAAAATTGTATCGAGTGAAATTTAGTTATCCTTGAAGCTTCTTGTAAATGTCAGAGAATAGAGCTTATATTCAAATATACGCAAATTCTCTCAAGAATTAGATGAAAAATTATGTCTGATGTATAGAGGTTTCACATGAGTTACAAAATTCATACATGAACAAGTAAATGCATATAATGCATGTAACTAGCCATTTATGTATTAAAAATTTTTTTTTTTCAAATGAAGAATATTTATACAGTCAAACCTCATTATATCTCAATGGGATGTACACTTTAGTGCATCTTATGAACATGAACTTACCATAAGCACTTCTTAAAATACAATGTTACTTTAATGATGATCTGAATAAAGAAATTAGCACTCTGGCAGCTAACTTTTCAAATTATCCATATTACAAGTTGACCAGTCACCATCAACAGAAAAATGTAAATTTATTAAAAAAAAATTATCTATTTTACATTTCAATTCTTTTGTTGTAATTTTTTCTTTATTGTTTTTTTTTTATTTGTTTAGGGTACATTTTTATGTCCACAAAGTTACCATTGAGGAAAAAAGTGTATTTACTGCACAACATACAATAATTCCATAAATAAAATATAACATTGTTCACAGCTTAACCAGTCTTAATTTGACTAAATGTTAAAACTACACTAAAAGTAAGACAACTTGTGTACAAGTTACTGCCAAAGTACTGTATGAAAATACTTACCAGTAATAATATATGACCAAAGCAATTTTTTTTATAAATATGCTTATTTCAGTTTCATTTTATAATACCCACAAAGGTAGTGAATTTTAAAAACTCTTAAAAATGTCATTTTTACCATACCTATGGTCTTCTAATTGCTCCGATATTTTAGTTATCATCTACAACTAATTATTCAATATTTTTTCCTGATTTTTACAGAAAAATAAACTGCTCATTGATATCTCAGAAATATCACCAAAACCAAATTGGTCAATCATTAATTAGCTTTCTTTTTCTTACATCTTTCACAGTATGTCTATATTGCATGAATCAATTACAGCAAATTTTATATTTTTATTCTAACTGATGCTCTGGCTCCAAGCCTTTTTAATGTTTCATAACTATAGACTTTCCTAACTTCTGATGAACTGTTATTTTTCTTCAGCTATGAACTAGCTTCTTGTCATAATGATCTTTTTTTCACATTTCTTAATGTTACGACTTCTGACTTTTTTCACTTCTTGGTGTTATAATCTTTGAACTTCAATGTTTATTGCTATAACATGTATAACGTACAAATTATATTCTGGCATTTTTTTTTTAAAATCTACTGTTTGATCTTCCGACTTATGGTATGACTCTAGATCTTTGTTGGGACAATGTCTTTATTAGCTGCATTAATGTAGCCCTCTCCCTTTTTTTTAATTTAGGAGAGGAAACAACAGATTAAAAAAAGATCAGAGAGGGCTACATTATTGCAGCTATGACTCTACAAGAAATCTCTTGGTGCTATGAACTTCTCAGTCTACTATTGAGGGGGTGTAGACTGAGGAAAGCTTTACAAGAGCTGGTGATTCAGCGAGCAGGGCACTTTCAATGAAGTTTGCATAGAAATCCTTTTTAGGCCATCCCATGCCAAAATATCCTTTACATGTGTAATACATATGCAAGTGTATATAGCTTGTTGAAATATTTTTCCAATAGAGTATAATAATTATAATAATATAAATGTATAACAATTATAAAGGATATTTCTACATGGAATGGCCTAAATTCTGGTTAGCATAGGAATGTTTTGACTTTCTTTTGTATCTTTTTCTTGCATTTGATGCATTTCTTCATTGGTTCAGAGCAGGGTTTACAGACTAGCCTGTGGCCACAGGGCGTGAACACAATGACCCTCTCTGACTTCTCACATTTAACACACAGTAACTGTTTCTTCAGTCTCTGGTTTTCTTCTTCAATGATTTCTGGGTCTAATTCTACAAAGAAATGAGTGTCGTGCATAATAATTTTTTATCATGCAATATATGAACTAGTTATAAGTAAATCAGCTTTAATTATAAAGGAATCATTGAAATGTGAACTATTTATTTATATATTTCCTCATTCTGGCAAAATTTCAAATCAGATTGATCCATATGACTGCAAGCAGGTAAAGAGTGTTGGATCATGTTCACCACCATTGGAAACAATTCACAAAAATAATTCTTTGATCATGTAGAATACTTTGCCAATTATTCATTTATATGTACATAATCTGACACTCACCTTGTTCACTTTCTGAGGTTTCTGAAAGACAGGAATTACACACACGTTAGAACATATGCAAATGTACAGAACTTTAAAGGAAAGTCTCGAACAAGACTCAGCTCTACTGCATTCTAGCTTAAATTAACTGCAAATAACTTTATCTTTCCAAACCTTACTTTAGATGTAGACATTATTTTACTCCTGTACGTAAATAAGACAAAGAGAGAGAGCACGTGAAAACAAATTCAACTGAATTGAAGACCTCCTTGTTAATTACCTGTAAATGATGCTATGTTCCCTGGGCCTTGAGAGGTAGGCTTGGACTGTGGTTGGACCGTCGCTTCAGGAGGAAATGTTTCCCCTTTATCCTCCATTTCCAACAATAAGTCCAAAAGATTGCTGGTAGTATAGTCATTGTGTCCTGATTTAATAAAATGTGCATATATTATCTGATCAGTGAACATTCTAAAATAAAAAAAAATACACATGTTTGTTTCAAAGATCTGCTTTAAACAACATATTTTGGGTTAGTGGGGAGGTAATTTCATGAGTACCAAGTATACTTATATGATTCAATTAATAAATCTATATTGACAAAATAACAAGCAGTGGGGCTGTAAATTCAGTGATAAAGGTAACCTATGAAATCAATGAACATTGATCCCCCACAAACGATGAGGATTTTACAGTATACAAGGTTATGGACTGAAAATTTGTATAACTACAATCAATGTACCTTTTTCTGCAACGAATCTGTCAATGACATGTTGAACTTTGACCTTAGAATACCCCATGCTGATAAGACTCCTGGCAGCTTGTGAGCAAATAGGGTTGTTGTCCTCTTCACTGGGCTTTCCAGGACCTAACATAGGAAGGGCAAATGATTATCTACTCTCACAGAGGATTAATTAAATTCAAGCAAAATTTTATCATGATTGAAATTTCATATAAAATACTTGGAGATAAATGTATAGAATCATACCAGCAGTGTTACATCCTGACTGAGGCAAGGAATCCAAATTGCCTGCTCCCTATGTAAACATACAATTATATACATGTACAGTGTACAAATAAATGTGACCTTTCAATCCAAATATATCCTTAAAACTTTTTTACTAAATGAACTAAAGTAATATAGATATGTTTTGGCCTCTAATTTACTTGAAAATAAATAACACTTTCAGATTTCAGCGTTAGAATTTTTTCATTCATTAGAACCCATTTATAAACTAAGATAGAATTTTTTTCAAGGTCAAACCCAGATTTTTGTTTTTTTAAAGAAATTATCATAATGATATACATTAACTTACCATCTCATATTTCTGTTGAATTTCATCAATGAATTGTATCCCTTTGATCTTCATAACAAACTTACAGAATGGAAACCATCGAGCATGCTCAGTCCAAGGGTCATCACCTTAGCACAACAATAAGACAACTACAGTTAGCAACAACTCATTCAAAACATAGTAAATATAATTTATCCATTATCAGATTATGTAGATCATTACAATCATCTTACCTGGTTCCCACTCCCGTAATCCCCCATCACAATAATGACATCGGACTGCATCCTCCTCACCTAGGTCAAAGGTCAAACAGTATTGCATCAAATCTGATGAACTGAACTTAACAAACAATATTGTTCAATAATAATTATATTAAAGATAATCTAGTAATGAAATAACCTCTTTGTTCTGGAGCATTTTTTATTTATGAAGGTACCTGTGAAGTAAAATCCAGCTTCAGCGATTTGTTTTGGAGTCTGGGTGATGGAGGATGGCCATTTGTCTGTTTGGAACGATTCTAATCGTCTGTTGAAATCTTGCATTTGAGGAGTTTTAGGATTATATATCTAAATGAAATTCACAAAAAGAACTTAAAGATCAAAACCAAATTCTTAATATTAATCTGCAGATATAAACTGCTTTTATGTACTAAATATAATGTAAATAGAGTTTCCATTCAATTTTCTTTCATTCTGCCAAGTTAACATAAGATTATGTTTTTTTTAATTATACATGTAGTAGATGTGTCAATAATATATATGAAATGATGAAGTTACTCTTTTTATCTATCATAAACTCATAATTAATGTTTTTCTTCAACCAGTCAACTTACTTTTCTCCATTCTTGCTGTACACGATTAATGAAGTCCTGTCCTTTCATTTTTTTGAGATATTTACAGTGCGGTGAGTGCCTGGCATGCTCTGACCACGGGTCATCTGTTTCGTCCCACTCAGCCAGACCAATATCACAGGCAAAGCACCTTACAATGTCCTGCTGACCAGTGAAGAAAAACCCACACTGCACCAACAATACTTTATTCTGTTTATCATTGAAGGGCCAGAAGACAAAGGTTCTCAATCTGGATTCTACAGTTTTGTAATCTGGATGCCTCATGGAGTAAGATGGTTCTTCTTCTGTGGCTATGGTATCAAATAAGGATGCATTTGTTGAAGATTTCTTTATTTCATTTGAGTCATGGATTGGTATTCCTGGTGATGGGGTGGTTTCCATCTCTAATGACTCTGCAGTGGCAGCAATGGTGTCTTCTCCAAATAGTGAATGTGGTTGAAGGTGATCTTCACTGAGCATGGCCATGTAGCTTAAGGAATCTGTGCTCGCTGTCTGAATTGGAAGTCCTCTTGCATCTGACACATTCTCTGTTGGATGAGAGATACCCTTCTGTGAATTGTATCCACTGTCATATTTAGGATAAGTTTCTTCATTTTTATTGAAAAAGAAATCCCGTGTTATGTTAGATATTTTGTCTTGCTGTTGTACATTGATATTTTCACTAGTTGCCCCAATGTATGGTTGAAAAATATTGTGGGTATTTGAACCATTTTTCTCACTTATTCCTAAATTTTTCATTTCAGGGACTGGGTTGCTATTCTCTATCTGTAGACCACCATGAATACTGGAACTGAAGATACCAGTGTTCATTTCACTTTTTGGCTTATGAAATGGTAAAACAAAATTTCCTATACCTTCCTTATCTTTCTTCTGTTGAAGAGCATGAAAACAATTTTCTGACAATCTCAAATGCATATTCAGAACAGTATCACCTTCCAAGAGAGAACTTAATTCTCTAGTTTCAATGTGAAGTTTACAGGCATAGCATGCCACTGAAGATTTCTGAACATCGAAGTAAAAGCCAGAGTCCACTAACCGTAGTGCAGACACTGGAGCACTCAGTGGCCAGTCCTTAAATGAAGCCAGCCGATTGAAGTGGTTTTCCATCATCCCATTCACTTCTTGAAAGAAATGGTATGTCATAATTGTCAGGGGTATTCCAGAATGTTTAAACAATGATAAATGTTCAAATATTACGTCTTCTGGCATCATGACCCGCTTTGGTATTACTTTTGGTCGTAGATGAATTTTCTTTTCCAGAGCTTCATTTAGAGCTATAGTAAGAAATGGCAACATCACCTCCTCATTTGAAAAGTGAAGACCATGTTCTTCCATCATATGTCTCTTGCTTTCAGTTAATAAAAAAATAGGTGATCTACACAGAGGGGGAACTGAACTTAGAGGTACTTTCTGTATAGAGTTCATTGGCCAATGTTCGTCATCTTTTATAAATTTCCTTAATCTTTCTTTCAGTGTTTTTATACTCTCAGATTTAAGTTCATCAGTCAATGGCTTTTTCAAGAAATCTCTTTCATCTTCATCTTTTGTTTTGTCAGCTTTTTCTCCAATAAACTGATCAAATATTTGATTTTCTTCTTTATCACTATCACTTTGAGAATACTCAGTCTTTCTCAGACCTTCAATATTTTTGATGGCTTTCTGAATTTTGGACTTAACAGTGTCATCAGATTCTATATCAATTTGAAAGTGTATTACAGTTGATTTTTTTAGATAACCTTCATTATTTCTGAGCGTTTTTTGAAATACTGCCAATTTTCTCTTTTGAATAGAAACTTTTGAAGATGTAGAACATTTGTTCAAAATTTTCAAGACTTCCTGCGGATTTGAAGTCACTCTTATCATATCTAATACAGCTATTAGGCTTTCATCACTGGTTTCTTTAGTTAATCTTTTTCCTATATAATCTGTTAGCTCATCTTGTGTGAGTGTTTCACTTTTCTCTTTTTCAAAAAATCGTAATTCGTGAATTTTTTCATGCTGGAGTTGTGTTGGACGGAACACTACAATATTCATTTGCTGTTTATTATCTCCATGTTCAGAGAAATATATTCTGTCATTGTCTGGCGGTTTTCCATCATTTTCCACAAGACATTCAAGGATTTTTCCAAATTTTATCATATTTTCTCCATTTGTATAGTGTTTCTTATTTTTTTCCAAATTTTGCTAAAAAATAATTAATTTACTTCACTTTAACAATCATCATTTAAATATTTTTTCTTCATTTATAGAGCACCAAATTTCTAATTTCAAAACAGTTCAATGAAAAGACACATGTAAATTTTAAAATTATTCATGTACATGAAAGTTAATGTAGTACGTACACTATGAAGGTTAAAACTGAATACTAGGGATGTCAAATCGGTCAATTTTCAATACTCGGTTACTCGGACGTTTTTCCGATCGAGTTACGGAGTACCCGGGTACTCGGTAAAAGTGTATGTAAATTGAAGACTGTAAAACATTGTAAACTCTTGTAGAAATAAAACCAGATGCACTTACAGGAGGTTAGCTTATCCGTAAATGTATTTCTGTTGTAATAATGATGAGCACTTCGTGCCCGATGAAATTTAATATAACAATTTTTAAATTCAATTTATTTATCAGATAAACACAAGAAATAAAATCATAAGTTGTTCACAGTGTTTTTGTTTAAAAAAATAATCTGCTGCGTAATTGTATAATGTAACTCCTTGTCGCGTTTGACGACCAGGTATCAGTCGTCAGAGCTACGTACAGTATCAACTTGAACTTGATCAAGTTCTCCTAATAGAGCGGATTTACAATTTTAGTACACTTGTTCGATCCGAGATTTATATAGTATTACGGGACGGTATTTTGTAGTTTGATGCAACGATGGACATCAGTTTTTTTAAAGCCTTTGCCTTCAGCCAGTTGTATTGGCATGTAATCAAACACAACCATATCAACAATCACACGTGTAATATCATCCGCTCTTTTCCTGAAAATTTACGGCTTCTCGGAGAATTGACGAAATTATCTAATTTATTTAAACATAATGGATCTTAAACGATGTTCAGTGAAAACAAATAATTAAAGCCAAACAAAAAATAAGGGAAGAAGGCAGCCGCAGGTGAGAAAAGCCAGGTACCCCAGGTACTTGGTCACGATAATTACTGTATATTAAACACTGCCACAGGCGATAACGGTCATTTAGAGTCGTAGTAAACCCTAATTACTGTATGTACAAGTTCAATGAGCATTTTACGCTTTAAAACGGATTGTTTAATGCATTAATAAATAAGATTAGAAATATTCAAAAATATACATCCGAGTAACCGAGTACCGATTTTAGTATTCGATACTCGGACGTTCGATCGAGTACCCGGTTAACCGGGTACTCGTTGACATCCCTACTGAATACATGTATCATGATAAAAAACATGAATGCATTATACAGTCCCAGCTATACACAACTGTATGTTGAGATTTAATTAGCAAATGAATGTCATTGATTTTAAAAATAAATAAATAGATGATGTTGACTTAAAGAATCATTGTCTAGATACAGTGTAGTAAAGTATGCAAGGGCATCAACTATGTTGGAAACATGGGATAATTTGCATAACTAGTGGTGTTCCAATCATCGATTATAATCGAAAATCAGTCGATTGCTGACATAATCCAAGCAATCGATTGCATTTTTAAAATTCTGATAAATCGGTTTATTATTTTAATTTACAAGCGTTGTAGTTTTTAACCCTAATTTTCCATCCACAGCATTGCTTTTGGCTTATTTGTGTAACGTAATGGTGCAGATAAACAAACTCTTGTATAAAATTCTATCCGAATAACAAAGCATGTTTCTGGGCATGGGCGTACTTTTGGTTCTATAAAATGAACAAAGGACCAACTGGATCACCACAGAAAGTCGTTATTTACCCAATCTTACCATTTACTTGTATAAATTGATATACTTTTTACATGTCCGATTATAATAGATAATTAGTTAGTTAGAGTAACCCAATCATCGATTATGAAATTCTTACCAATTCCCATCACTATGCATAACAGGCTAAGGTCCATATGCATAAATTTCTAGTATATCCCATGCTTCCAACTATATATATATCATTGATGTCCCTGGCATACTATACTAACTAGTAACTAGACAGTAATATTAAATTTGATCCTTATAATTCCATGTCATTGTGAAATTAAAAAAGTAAATTTAGACTTTGAAAACCGCACTTATAAATAAATATAGATTTAATTTACACATCACTCCCATGTAAATTTCAGCATTCCCTGTCCACATGAGATTTATATACATATAAGCATGATTAGGCCTCCTTAAAGTTCCAAACCTATCGCTTAGCAAAATTTACATTCCACTGAGTAGAATGATCAAGAAATCAACTCAGCTAACTTTCAAAGAGTTATCACAGAGAAAGCAAAATGGAAATATACAAAGATAAATTAATAAGTAAGTAGTGAACAAATGTAACATTTTTTTGTGGAATTGCTCAGTAAAGTAATTTAATGTTCCTTGTTTTACCTGATGAGTCCTGCCACCATAATTAACTGGTGTTGTTATCACATCCATTGGGTTATTCATCATTATTACATCTAGAACAAAAGAAAAAAATCTGCACTAAATGTATATCAACATGAAACAAGCATCTAGTAAATAAAAAATGCATGGATAGTAGATTTAGCAAAGAGACATAATATTGCACTGTGATGTGTAAAACTTACTAGCACAATTGATTTGTTGTGCTTCCTAGATACTAAGATGTGACTTTTATACCACAAATATTAGTCTAGTAACTGCTACATTATCCATTTTGGAACACTGATCCTGATGTACCTATTTTCATGATACTTAAATTTCAGTTACTGTGGTACTGATTACTGTAAACAGTGTCAAAATAAAATTTATAAATGTTCATTATCAATATGATCAAGTCCCTGCCTCATAAATTCAAAAGACTGAAGTTAAATTTAAACTTTCTGCGGTATATTTGGCTAAATAGGTCAATTAAAAGTGAAGCTCAAGTTGACTGTCATGCTGATATTTTTTTGACAGACAGACAATGAATTAGACAGTCAGTGTGTAAAGTAATCCCGGCTCTGCAGGGGACATACAAATATGACAAATTTTTCATAATCTGTGACAGTCGAATCAGTAAATTAAATGCAGCTTAGTATGTATCTGCTTTGGTTTAAAAAATTATCTTATAGTCCATCAGGTATGATCCTCTTTCATTTTACGTTTTAATTAAAAGAAAAACAGGCTCCAAGACTAAACTGAGAGACTTTGAAAGTCAATTTAAAATTACTTAATAAAATCATTATAATTAACATGTATAATAACCTTTGAAATAATTATGATAATCATGATAATGAAATAAAATTTTAATCATATGTTTGATTTTTAATATTTTTAAAAAATTCAAAAAAGATGGGGGAACATGGCGGGCAAAGTGCATACAGTGCGACAGACATGAAGTGAATGCCTATAGCGTCAGATATTTATTAAGAAATCGTATTTGACCCCCTTTTCTATATATTAATAATAATTTAAATACACGTAAAATTCTATTTAATTAATATGTTTTAGATCAGAATAAGTGGCTAAGAATAAAAAAAAAATAATGCGATAAATAATCGTAAAATTGCGATATAAATCATAAAAATTATTATTTCAATAAACAATGGTTTTGAAATTCAATCGGGATCGGGAAGTCATAAAATATTTCACTATATTTCTTCTGGAAAAAAAAAAAACCACAAAATGACAAATGGTTTTATGTACATTTGATTTATCAGAGACATATAAGAGATGTATATATGTCTCTGGATTTATTTAGTAAAAATCAACCCAATTATGCATAAAATATGTCAAGATCATCATGTAAACTTCAAGTTCTCCAAGGTTCTCTATTTAGTAGGACCAATACTTTAAAAAATCTGAGAAAAAACACTTATTTTTGTACTTCGGAACGTAAATTGTACGTCTTTAGACTTTTGAACTTAACTATTGTTTCTTCGAAAATAACGTAGGCTGTTCATTTCCATTCCATTTCAATTTCGTTTTGATTTTTTGTTTCGTTTTTTAATATTTTTTCCACTCAAACAGTTATTCTTGGAAATCCCGATTGTTGGGCAAATTAATATGATGTACTGTGAATTATCCCTACATAACGTTAATGTTTTATTGTTTGTTGTAAATGATATCAATTCCAATATAAAACAATTAAATGGTAGGTCAGCACTTACTTCTAAAGCAACTCTGGTGAAAACATCTCCTGCTGTCCCTTTTATTCTGGAAATTCTGGAAAACCCCTTTACTATAAATAAAACTTTATGCGTTGTCAGGTGTGCGTGAACCCGTCTTAAAATCAAAGTACTGAAAGTATCGACGTAAGCTACGCAAATTATGTTTTGAAACTCAATATATTTTTATGCGCCCGAATCGAAAGATCCGAGGCGTATATTGTTTTTGTCCTGTCTGTCTGTCTGTCTGTTTATCTGTTTGTCTGCAAACTTTAACCTTTGCTATAACTTTTGAACCATTAATGATTGAGACTTCATATTTGGTATGCATAAGTAGTAAGCTCTTTCAAATGACACCAAGGGCAATGACCTTGTGACCTTCACTGTGACCTATATGCTAAAAATAGTATTTTCTGCAAACTTTAACCTTCGCTATAACTTTTGAACCATAAAAGATAGAGACTTCATATTTGGTATGCATACTCCACTGGATAGAATGCACTTTACCGGTACGGCCGCCATTTTGATTCTAGATCCGCGCGTGAAAGTGCTCGGCGTAAAAACTTAGCAACGTATCAACTATGATGGGCGACGCCATTTTGTTGTGTAAGAAACTCTCGAAGCGAGAAAAAAGATATCTAAATGGGTTTTCGCTTTTTTAAGCGGGGGTGTGGGGGCGACAGCCCCCAATACGAAAAAAATTGAATAAAACAAACTTACCTTAGTCGTTAGATAAATCTGCGCTAAGACTCGGAGCCATACGTACGTGTCACTATACATATCGTACATGTAGAACTATTGTGTCTTTTTTTTTTTTGCACTGAGTTGTAAATACGTTTTTATGGGTGATGAAGGAGATAAACGTCAATTTTTAATTATAGCTACTATCCTAGTGCATTCTTGTTTTAGTAGAGATTTCCTATATAACTGCATTCCATGTAGTCTCAATGATTGTAAAGTATCCAGTGTTTTGCAAATTGAAATCTCTAGATTTTTTAGTTCGTAAATCCAGGAGTATGTTAGATTAACGGCAGCTCTGTTTCCACAAATCTAAGATGTGTCTTTTACGTTTCATTTTTCTTATACTGCCGATTGCTGTTCCTCGAAACAAGACCATCTTCACTGCATGTTTACAAGTTTTGCCCCTCCACTTAATTATTCAACATTTCCAAAAACTAAGGATCACATTTATCGCTAAATTTCCAAAATGCTAGAATGCTGCAGTCAGTCAATTAAAAATATCCATTCATAGAAAACACAATACAAATCATCGTAAATAAGGTGCATGTTGAATCACTGTTTACAATCATATAGAGTGGAAGTCAAACTTTCTATTTCACGTCACCTACCCTGACCAATCACAGCACTGAAATAAGTCACGTGCTTAACAACGTCACGACTTTGGAATGTGGCCGACAGAATGAAAGTGAATGGTTTGTTTTGAAAGTGCTTTTAGTTTTAATTAATAACTTCGTTAATTAAACGAAGTTTATTAACATGAAAAATGACGAGGAATTCAAAAAATAGGTTATTTTTGCATTTTATTGCCTTTTTAGCGAAATCGTCACGCTGACGCGTGACTCTCTTACAGAGAAAGAGCACGTGCTATTTCCATATTATTTGGACGTACCGGTAAAGTGCAGTTGTCCCACTCCACTAATTAAGCTCTTTCAAATGAAACCAAGGTGAATGACCTTGTGACCTTGACTGTGTCCTATATGCTAAAAATAGCTTTTTTTGAACATTCACAATAACTTTTGAACAATGAAAGATAGAGACTTCATATTTGGTATGCATACTCCACTAATTAATTTCTTTAAAATGACACCAAGATCAATGACTTTGTGACCTTGACTGTGACTTATATGCTAAAAATAAGGGTTTTTTTTAAACTTTGTTGCCGCCGGGCGCATAGTGTTTCACAAACATATCTTGTTTTTCCGTCACTTTCGCACAGGAATTTCGCATTTACTCGCATTCGCCTGTCAGTCCCTACATGTATCCTAGAGTACCCATAAATCGTCCCCATACGACATTCGACGTCATAGTTACGACGAGCGCGTGCAAATTGATAAACAAACTTCAGTGCTTATTATACATGCTATAGAACGGAAAAGCTGACTAAATATTAAAAATTATTTTTTCTTACCACTCTTCACAAGATTTTTAGAGCTCTTCTACAAAATCAAACTTTTACACTTCAAAATATCACCCATACCCTATTTTCGTCCTTCAGATATAAAACGGCCGCAGATGATTGGTCTATTTGTTTTCCCGTGATTTGTGATTAAAAAGGGTTGGAAAATCATTAAAACAAAAATTGTAAATAAGTTCTTCTACCCAAAACCTTAAAAAAATATTTTTATCAATTTAAGAACATTAAATTGCTTGCTATTACCGACCCCCTTTTCTTTAACGAAATAAAAAAACACGAACGTGCTTTCAGATTAACATTGTCAACGATGTCATGTATGCTCATCAAATTACCTGATATGCGAATTATATATACAATTTTTTTTTGTTTTGTTTTTTTTTGTTTTTTTTTTTAAAATCAATATTTAATTATGTTAGATTACATAATTGGATTGGACATCAGGCATGGCCTATATAAGTCCTCTCCAAGGTCAAGGTTACAAATGTTAAGAATATTGACAATAATTTACAATGATGGAATAATACTTATTAAGTTACATTATTTTCTTTTCTTAACTATATATGGGAAAGCAAAACGAAAAAAATAGATTAAGTTATACAGAAGAATTATTACTAAGTTTGTATACTCGCTATGAAATATAATGGTAAGGAAGTAAAAAAGTGCAAACAAACAGCAAACAGAATAAGTAAATAAATAATAAAGTGCAAAGGATAAATATGCAAAGAAAAATACAAAACTGAAGAAAGAGTAACATTTACAAAAGACAAATAAATTTTAATCAAGCAACAACACTGAGTGAGGAAATTTAAAATAAAAAACAAACAAAACAGAAAAATAAAATAAAAAAGTGCAAAGACAATTATTAAAGGAAAAATACAACATATACATGGAACATGGAAATGCTGAGACGTAAATAAAATTAAATGTAATTATAAGAAATATCAGGATTTATATTTTACTTAATTAAGAGATACTACAAAATCTTTTTGAAGACTTGATGTACAGTTGGACTGCTTCAAAAATTGAACAGTTAATTTTATTAGGTAATTGCCTATCCCCAAAATAGCAAAGTATTCAAAATTTGACCAGGAGACATGCTTTCTAATTCTATTACATTCTGAAGACTTTCAAAAAGTATCCTTCTCTGATTATTATATGCAGGGCATTCTAAGAAAAAATGAT